ACAGCGCGCGAGAAAGCGACCCGAGTCTGGGATTTCTCAATCACTGTATGCGCTCACAGAAGCAACCACAGTGAATCTGCTAATGCTCAGTTTACACACCAGGCAACTGCTGATGGACCACAGATGCAAAATATTGCATTAAGGCATTTTTTAACTTACGCAATGCACCTGTCAAAATTATCGTTTTGACTCACGTTAATTACATTTTTTATTAACGCGTTATTTTTTTTAAATACCCGCCCATTTATCCATAAGAATATCACTCAGAATGCTGCGTGTGAGATGGCCTCCTCCGTGGCCGCTCTGGTTGTTGTTAGCGGCTGTGAGTGAGTGCAAGCTTTGCACGGGCTGCAAGCATGGATCTAGCTATTATAATAACAGCAGCAAGCGATTGCTCCGTTCACATACTCAGCGCTCTGCGCACTGTATTTTCCCTGGTTCTTGTCTGTCAGGCACAATCTGCGCACTGTATTCTCCCTGGTTCTTGACTGTCAGGCGTGAGTGTTGCTCGTGTGTGTCTTTGGGAACTAATTATTTTAAAATAGTCTCTTTCAATTGCAAGTTTTGTAATCTGTTTGTTTGATCAATGGATAAAAATAAATGCAATTTAATTAAATGGCACCTTGGCCTGTCTTATACCTGTTTGCCTGCAGGACAGTTCCCTAAACTAACATATCATACTAAAATAGGGTGGGGTTGTTGCAACAATTAATCTACTTAGAAGTTATCCTAAATTACAGCCAGCTAAAGCTCGGTACCACGACAAACGAAAAAGTAACGCAATAGTTACTTTTACTGCTAACTAGTTACTTTTATAGTGGAGTAACTCAGTTAGTGAGTCAATTACTTTTTGGTAGAAGTAACTAGTAACTATAACTAATTACTTTTTCAAAGTAACTTACCCAACACTGGTAATTATATTTGATAATCTCATTTAACTTCAATTGGAGTGGATTTGAAATAGAATGTTAAACATGCGATTAATCGTGAGTTAACTCACCATTACTATGCGATTAATCAACTAAAAAAAATGAATCGTTTGACAGCCCTAGTGTATATATATATATATATATATATATATATATATATATATATGAGCACCAGAGCGATAGAGGCCCAGATATACCACACCAGACAAGACCCAAGGTGTCGGTTGTGCAAAGAGGCACCTGAGACGATCCAACACATAACTGCAGGGTGCAAGATGCTGGCAGGGAAGGCCTACATGGAACGCCATAACCAAGTGGCTGGCATAGTGTACAGAAACATCTGTGGAGAGTATGGGCTGGAAACCCCAAGGTCTAAGTGGGAAACTCCTCCAAAGGTGGTGGAGAATGAGCGTGCGAAGATCCTGTGGGACTTCCAGATACAGACCGCCGAATGGTAATGGCAAACCAACCTGACATCGTGGTGGTAGACAAAGGGCAGAGGACAGCCGTGGTGGTGGACGTGGCAATTCCAAGCGATGGTAACATCCGGAAAAAAGAACATGAAAAGCTTGAGAAATACCAAGGTCTCAGAGAGGAGCTGGAGAGGGCCTGGAGGGTAAAGGTGACAGTAGTGCCCGTGGTGATCGGTGCACTCGGGGCAGTGACCCCGAAGCTAGATGAGTGGTTACAGCGGATCCCTGGAACAACCTCGGACATCTCGGTCCAGAAATGTGCAGTGCTAGGAACAGCAAAGATACTGCGCAGAACCCTCAAGCTCCCTGGCCTCTGGTAGAGGACCCGAGCTTAGAGAGGGATAACCGCCCGCGGAGGGCCAAAGGTGAGTGGACAAATTTTATATATATAATTTGAACCGAGAATAGAACACATCTTTCATGTCATGAATAAAAATAAAAAATCCAAACTTTTGGTCTGTACTGTACATACATGAGATGAGCACTTACACTTTCAACATGTCTTTTGTCCTATTAGATTTATTTAATTGATTTTGACATGACAAGCTATAATCAATCATGATCAAATATGTGTGTGTGTGTGTGTGTGTGTGTGTGTTTGAGCATTTACAAAATCCGGGTCTACGGTGTGCTCCCCCTCAACCCTGATTAGCATTTGTATAGCTCACAGCATTGCCATTTACATGTTAAAGCCTCCTGTGGAGGAGGGAGGAGGGGACAACAAACTGCCGAATCCCAGAAGTTTCACAGTAATATACAGGGCCGAAAAGAGACGAAAATCACACTTTTCATGCAGTGAGAGCAACATCAACTACATTAACTTTTGAAATATTCACCCCTTTCGTGATAAGCAGGTCCAGGGTGTGTCCTCTGCTATGGGTGGGGCCACTCACATGCTGAGTGAGGCCAAAGGATTCAAGTATGGAACTCAGCTCTTTTGCGTATCTGTCATTAACATTATCCACATGAATATTAAAATCGCCTATAATGACTAAACCATCAAAATCTGTGCACACAACTGAAAGCAACTCAGTGAAATGATCAGTGAAACTATGGCATGACTGTGGCGGCTTGTACACAACAATAATAAGAATGGAAGAAGATTTCTTTTGTTCTATTTTAAAAGAAACATACTCAAATGATGAAAATTTCCCAAGAGACACTCTATGGGAGACAATACGATCTTTAAAAACTGCTGCTATGCCCCCCCCCCCTTTTATTTTCTCGTGTTTCATATTCAAATTTGAAATTTGGTGGTGAGGCTTCTATTAAAACTGCATCTCCTGTATTATGGTCAAGCCATGTTTCAGTCATAAACATAAAATCAAGATCATACGAACAGATAAAATTATTAATTAAAAATGATTTGTTGCATAGTGATCTGACATTAAGTAGAGCAAGGTTAAAATTAATATCAGTGTCAGTGGGTTTAGTTGATTGATTACAAAAAACTGGAATTAGATTTCCAGAGTTGGACCGTCTAACTGCTGTCCTTCTTTTAAATTTGTGTTTATTCAAGTTAAAACACATTTCTGAGCTGGTGCGAGGAACACACACAGTCTCTATTGGTTTAAAAAGTGAACTCTGTTGTACTTTGTTAAGTTCCAGATGCATAACTGAGTCAGCACAGTTCAGTGGCAGGACTGTCGTTACACTGCCAGACGGACAGGGGTCAGTGTTTGCACCACAGTACTCACCCGGTGCTGGTAAGGAGGAGGAGGAGGGGGGTGGTGGGGGCCGAGAAGCCTCAGATGTAAACAGTCACGCCCCCCTCGGGGAGCACTGAACAACATGGCGTAGGAAGTCCGTCAACAAACTGGTGCCGTATCTGTTCGGGTGCAGACCATCTGGACGATAGGCCACGTGACGCTTCCAGAACAGGCCAAAGTTGTTCACAAAAATAAAGTTAAAAGTGCTGCATGTAGACTGGAGCCACATGTTGAGCGCCACAACGCAACTGTAGAGGCAGTCACCCCGGTTTACAGTCGGGACTGGACCAGAGATAAAAACACACAACCCGAAGGACTGGAGAAGGCGGAATAGATCCATAAAATGCTTCTTTGTGACCTCGGACTGCTGCAGCTTCATGTCGTTGATCCCCACATGCACGATTACCTTGGATATGGTATCAGGCAGGGACTGAAGCAGAGGAGGGAGACGGATGAGCAGGTCTGGTACAGTGGCTCCGGGAAAACACTGAGTGACCGCGTTAAAAAAGCGGACGTGCCTCACGATGGAATCTCCAACAATCAGAGTAGTTGGGGCGAAGAGTGGACGCGGCCGCGGAGAGGGCGCTCGGTGTCCATGGCCAGAACCAGCGGGCTCATCCAGGGATGGGTCCGAACCAGGGCGCTGCTGAACACATGGAGAGGAGTGGGGGTGTTGATTCCCAGCTCCGGGCAACCCACGCTGTGTGCACGGAGACGCTGGAGCAGCGAGAGGAGCAGGCTCGGGTCGCTGCTGCTGACCCGGTGAAGGTAAGTGGTGGTGATGCACTGGGGTCAGAGAAGGGGAATGATCACTCTTTCGTCTGAGGACAGCTTCCTTTAAGAGTGTCTTTCTCGCAGTGGACCTGGATCCACGGACAGCAGTAGAGTTTGCTGCAGAGTCCAGGGGTTCTGCTGAGGGGGCTGGAATGTCAGTGGAGAGGGCTGCATCCCACACGACAGTGTCACAGTATGCAGCGCTCAGTGACATAAGCCGTGAGTGCTGCCCGCCGGCGACATCAAAAAGTTTGGACACGAGTGACTGTTTGTCCTGCAGCTCTGCAGTGAGGCGAAGGACTTCTTTACGGAGGTCTGCAATAGTGGCACGGTCCCTCTCACGAAGCTCCAATGTGAGGCGACTAATGTCGTTCGTGGTCATTGCAGTGTCACTTTCCATGTCTGTGGTGCGCTCGTGGTAGCCTCCGAGCTAGCGCGTTTCGATTGGGTCTTTGTGTTAAAAGACGTGATGCTCTGGAACCATTGCATTTAAGATAATAAAACACTAGAGTGTACAAAAGACACTAATACAACGTAAAAACGTGTTTAAAAGGCTTTAAAAGGCTTAAAAGGGTAAAACAGAGCAGAGACGTCAAAACGCGTGCTCACTCCACCCACCTTAAGGCCTGATGACTGTTCCATAAAGTCTAGTCCAGGGCTATTCACCAGTGTGCGATGACTTTAGTGTGCCTTGGAGATGTTGTATGTTTGGCTTTTGGAAATGATCCAATATCACAGCATTGGTCAAAATATTGCCAAACGAAAAATACAAAAAATGAAGGCTGCGGTTTCATTTTTGCATCAGTTTCAGCTAGTGGCGTTTCATGTGTTTGTTATCATTGAAAAGGTTTGCCACGGCTTGAAAAGGTTGGGGAACACTGCTCTTGTCTGCACTTCACTTATTGTGAAAGCAGCACCCGGAAGTTATGCTGGAACAATCTTAACTCAACCACTTGCACAACAGCCTCTCGTTAAAAACAAAACTCCAAAACAGAACAAGTCCTAATGACACAACATTAAAAAACAATTATCTATCGCATTTTAATAGACCGCACGTTTTGAGACAATTTCGTGTGACGTAAGGACGTAGAGACGCACGTGAATGTTGTTCTTACCTCGTGGTCGTGCAAGCGTAAGTCGTTCCGTAGTAAACATATCACAGTACGAGCCGCAGACATCTTCTGTGCTGGAAAATTGAATTAAAATCTATATATGTGTAGTTATTGTCGTGGACATAAGCTGGGGCAAAAGGCAAGGCGCAGTTCACCTCCGCTGTTGTTCAGAGAAAGTGTTACCAAACCCAAGCAAATGACATTTCGCCAACGTGTTTAGTTTATGGGTGGCACTTCCGGCGGATTTTCAATGTAAGTTTGTAATGTAGTTGGCCTGGAGATGTTGTTTGGTGTGCCCATCCATCCATCCATTTTCTTCCCCTTAATCCATTTCTGGGTCGGGGGGTGGCAGTCAGAGCTGCACCCAGTACACAGAGCACCAGCCCCTCACTGATCTTCCTGCAGGTGGTGAGTCCACAGGAGCTGAGATCTTTCAGCGGGGGCTTCAGGCAAAGTGGGGTTAAGTGTCTTGCCTAAGGACACAACAACAGTAGACTCAGTGGGAGTCGGTGGGGAAGGTGTCGAGGTGGGAAACGAACCCACGACCTTCAGGCCTAGGGGCCAATGCTCTACCAACTGAGCTACTGTCACCCCATATGTTTGGTGTGCCTTTGGAGATAATCTAATATTGATTAATTGGTCATAATGTGTCAATAAATGAATGTGATAAGATTAGAAATACTTTTTAGCGCTTTTGTTTGATTTTCTATTTTAAACACTTAAATTAGATACTTTGCATTGTTTATAGAATAAGAGATCCTTTATACGTCTAAAAGAGGGGGAAATTCAGTGTTGCATCACAAGTTAAAGAACAGTATGAATAAGGAGCACACAGCGTACTCCAGTTTCCCCTACCACTAAAAACATGTGCAATAGTTCAGGGTGAATGAGTGTGTGTTTGTGAGTGCAAATGTGGGACAACGGATGCAAATTAGCCCATGGCTACAATCCGGAGTGATGTGTTTAGTTTAGTTTAGTTTAGTTTATTTATTTAAGATGACAAGGACAGTGCACAATAAACATTAACCTCAAAAGGAGAGATGCATTGTACCAGGTTATAGCTCAAGAGCTAATTTCCACCTGTAGTCCCTGGGCAGGCTGATGTTATATCAGCCTGATGTTCATTAAAATGTACTGTCCCAACCAAATAAACAATAAATAAATAAAAACAACACAAGATACAACTCATGTTGGTGTCGACAAAATAACAAGCCCTTGTTCTTAGTGACTAAATAATTAACGAATAACACATGAAAAAACATGAGTCAACTGCAGAATATGTTTTTTATTAAGTTAAATGTACAAAAGATGCTTTCCTTAGGTTCCCCCAGGCATATGCCACAGCTTTTTCCAGACTCACAAACTAAGGTGTGTTTGCAGGTATAATCTAGATATCAACTAGTTACACCAAATAGATTTCCATTGAATGCAAAAGGTTTGTATAGAAAAGTGCTGACATTATTTACATTATAATCTTCAAAGTAAATGAGCAATTTGTGCTCAAACTACAAGAGCTGCTCACCTCTTAAGAGATGCTTTGTGCTTTGGCAGTGAACAAAAGATTACATAAGGCACTGACAAGTTTACATAAAGATTTGATCATTCTTTCCTTCAAGTGCTATTGTATTACCACACCTACAGCACCAGTCGCGCCTACTGATCTTCATCAATACAGCATTTTCATTTCTTTTTTAATTTACACAGATCTTCCAATGGCTCATTGCAGCCATTAAGCAACTGTGGTCCATGCAGCTTAGAAAAGGCATTGAGTGATTACATTAATGAAGCCACATAAGTATCATTGTAAAGATGCATTTGGTCGGTGCAGTAGTGCACAAAGCTGCCATATTCTAAACAAGGCATATGTGAAGTGACAACAAACAGAACTACAGTAATACTGTTTCTTTGTCTGCAGAGACCATTGTGTGACTTTTCTCCTTTTCCCCATTGCAACAGGTCCATAACGGCGGAAGGCTAGAATGGATCTAGGTCCAACAGTATTGTTAATATTGCTCGAACATTGCACAACAATGCATCAATTTGGTTCTTTTGTATAGACATTGTCTCGACTATAAGAATATATAAAACCAACAAACAAAAATATTCTGTTGATTATCTTGTGTAAGTGTTCAAATGCATGGAGTCAAAGTGCACTGTCGATTTCAGATCTGCGTAACATCAAGGCCAGGAGACCTTTCACAATAATTCTTCTTACTTAGTTGTAAGGCGTTAACAAAAATACTTTTAACAGAGAAGCAGCTAGGATAAATTTGTATGTGGCTTTAATACAAAAATATTCTATACTCAGTGCAACTCACTACCGACCCCTGTGGGTGTGACTTAAAGTACTAGTGGGATCACCTGTCACTCACTTCTCTGTAGTTTGGCCTATTCTTATCACTAAGTGAGTGCAATAAGTGCCCTCGGCAGTTTGAGGTTTCACCTCTCTATCCACTTTTCCTCGGAATTGAAACTGCCTGAAGCTTGCCAGACTGCTGCCATCTTGCCGGTCTCCTCTTCAGGGAACGCTTACGGCGCCTCAGAGGACTCTGGAAGTCTGACAGAAGCCGGACTGGCCCCTCCATGCACCCCTCATACCTAGGGAGGAGCTGATGGTACAAGGCAGATGTTGGTGACAGATGACAGGGTGTAGAGGTGAAGAGGACCCTGAGGCCTGGTTACAGAGGGCCCTGAGGAGCAGGGTGGGCCACAGAGGAGGGGAGTGCCGGGGCCATGGAGGCCTCACAGGCAGGGATAGAGGAGAATGAGCTTCAGAAACTGCCTTGGACGAACGGGTGACTGAGCAGGGCATCTGCAGTAGATCTCAGCTTTTCCTCCACAAACACCTGACGCAGAAAGTCTCTGCAGTAGTCCGACACACCTTCTGGAAGCTGAGGTTTTGTTGGCTGTGTGGCTATTTTAAAGATGGCAGCCATGGCCTCGTACTCAGCCCAAGGAGGTTTCTGTGTCAGCATTTCCACAACAGTGCAGGCAACACTCCTGAAAAAGAGCAATTTGCATGAATGACCAATCAGCAAAAAACAATTATGTTTCTGACTTACCATACATCAGCTTTGCGCCCATACCCCTCTCCATTTATAACTTCTGGGCTCATCCAGTAGGGGGTGCCAGTGACAGACTTGATTCCTGTGCCAGACATGCAAATAGTCTGGATCCTTTTGCTGGCTCCAAAGTCTCCTAGCTTTACATTGCCGGATGAATCCCCCAGTATGTTGGCACCTGAGGCAAGCAGGCTTAATTTAAAAAAAAAGTCTACAAAACATTATCCACTTTGATTTAAGCTGTGTTTAGTGTTTGATGTACTGTGACATTGAGCTGAACTGGAGTCGTATGTCTGACTTTTATTCAGTAGTAAGTAGAGGTTCTGTGTTTTGTAAAGACTTTGTGACATTGCCTGAATCTAAATAGGAAAGATTATATGTGGAAGTGGATAAATGTTCTGTATCCCATTTCAATGACCAATGTACACCCATCCAGATGCACAGACTAGACACTGAAAAGTATTTTACTTTAAAGTATAAATAGAAACTAGCTTGGCCTAAATCTGGTGAAAATCTTTTCTTTGTTAACAAGCATTCTCTTTAATTAAACCTTAATCAAACGCATAAAAGGAAATCTCAAATGTGTCTTCATAACTGCTACATAAAACTTTGACACTAAGGGCAGACTGGATTTTTTGGTATAATGTGATGACGAGTGTCTTTTCCTCAATAAATGGCACAACTTCCACGTCTGGCAGTGGTTTAACGCAGCAGAAACTGTGAGCAGCCACACTTAAGGATTTCCATCCATTCTATTTTAGACTGCATATTTGACCAAATGGAGTCTAAAAATATCTCCAGGGACTATTTGAAAAGGGAAATTGTTTTATGAAACTAAATTAACTAATGTGAAAGAAAATGAAAAAAATTGCAAATGAAATGAATTCGCTTTAAAGCTGAACTTGTTCCTCAGAACGCACTGAACTGGCTCCAAGTCCAATTTAAATCCAAAATTAAAATCTTTCTTTCCTGCTGTTACCTTTGATGTCTCTGTGTACTATCATGTTGCTGTGCAGGTAGGAAACTCCTTGGAGGATCTGCCTGGTGTATCTTCTCGTTACTTTCTCTGTTAGCGCTCCATAGGCTTTGAGCTGGTCTTTCACCGAACCCTAGTTACAAGAAAGAATCAATAGAAAACATTTACTCACATAAATGTAACACTTCAGTAAAAAATGTATGGAAATGTTTACTAGTCCAACCGACTTGCAGGCCATGTAAGTACAATGTAATGAACACATTTGTACTCAACAATAACCAAACATTCCAACTATAATGATAAATAACAATACTATTTCATTATGTTAACCACAAGTCCTCAGAAAGCTGCAAACTTTCATTAGATGTTGTTTGAGCTCGTCAACACAGAGCGTGCAGTGTGAGCAGCTCATTTAGGGAGACATGAACAGCTAAGAACACATGTGGTTACATTTATTCTGCAGAAGATAAACAGACTGTGTATTTTGTTTGTTTTAGCTTGGTTACAAACCTTATTGCAAAATGTAGACTTAAAAGACTTTAAAGACCTTGTTTAATACTAACCCCAGGCATGTATTCAACAAAAATGGTGAGTTTCCTCTGGTCCAGGTCCCGCAGGCATCCGTAATATTGAACAATGCGATCATGGCGCAGATTTTTCAGCAGCTGGATCTCACACTCCAGAGCATTCACCTCCTACAGAGGAACAACATTCTTTGTTAGAGGCACATGTGACATCACACTTTGTCAAAGCAGTGATTCCTAGTCAGTCCTGTTCAACAGTTAATGAATATGAGAATACCAGAAAAACCTCAATTTTGGACTAATTCAAATTGGGCTATTTTCAGTACCTAGAGACACACTAGTGTACATGGCAGTGGCTCAGTTACATTTGAAGTTGTCATGTGCTTTGCTTTCTCTTTAGAGGATGTGTGTGTTTTACCTTGCTGGTTTCCTGACAGTCGGGGTCAAACGGCACCTGCTTGGCAGCCAGCTCGCGGCCAGTGTCAGCATCGTAGCACAGATAGACCTCCCCAAAAGCTCCACGACCCAAAAGCTTGCCCTGTCTCCAGTTGACTGGTGCCCGAGGAGCTACAATGAGAGCAGATGATGAACACTTACAGTAAATCATCCCCCTCCTATATCCAGTGAGATACTGATTAGAGAAACTATTTCTCAGCCACGTGTCAGAATCAACCACAAAACAACAGTAAATATGTGGAGAAACTAGAGACGTTGAGGCCACCCCATGCTCCGTAAGTTACTTCAACCACAGACAATCTCAAATTATACAGATTGGGAAAATCCCCAAAGAATAGTCAAATTGTTCCATCAACAGAAAATCAAGCAAGGACACAGTTGCAACAACAGCTCGTAGACTACATGGAGGCTGTGTTTAACAGTTTTCTTGTGCGGAGGAGGTGAGGAATAAGGTTTGAGTCTTAACCACAATTTGCTGAGCGCAATGTTTTTGTTGCCGCAAAGAGACAGACTTAACAAAGACACATGTGAAGATTAGAGAATGATTTTAACACAACATTCTGAAATCATAAGGGCAGCTCTTGACATGCCATGTATCATCATCATCATTTTAACAGTCAGAGGAGAAAGACACAGTAAACCTTTTAAAAAACACATCTTAACCTCATTTACACACTTAGAGACTAGATCCACTCACACTTGCTGGTTCCTCTCTTGCCCAGTGAGCGCAGTTCAGTGTATTGGAGTGTACTGTCTCCAATGTAGCTCCGTGAGCGACTGGAGGGAACCAGCTGGAACAAGTATTCCTGAGGCATGAAGCTTCGTGGAAGTGTCCGGCGACCTAAAATGCACACATTTAAAGGATACAAATGTGATCCAAGTATTGCTTGGACAATATGATCTCATATATGACACAACATTTACCAGGGGACACTAAATTGCTGCTGGACTTTTACATGTAGATCCAACGTGTAGTTCAAATGAGTGAATAACGTGCTATTTTAATGTCTCCATTGTGGTTGTTATCATATTAATATTGGAAAGGTTGGTTACTTACGGTATTCAGATGCATAATCCTTGCTTGGATTGGGCAGCTGGAACTGCCTGGGAAAAGTGCCTCCTTTCCGATGCCATCCTGAATAAAAGGATAGTTTTGTTACAGAACATTTATTAACTGCTGATTTTACATATTGAAATTCATTCTGCAGGATTACTTGATCTTTTACGCTGACAATAAGTAATAACAATAACGAAATAGAAGTCAAACTAGACAATGTGGGTGAAGTGTCATGCCTAAGGACACGACAGTTTGGTACTTTACATTCGCCACACTGTGAATCCTGGTGTTCCCAGAGATCTCCCATCACAGTCATAACCAGACCCTGTCCTGCTTAGCTTCTGAGATCTGATGGGATCAGACTTTCACATACTCCAGGTTTGCGTATTTTCAAATAATTTGATGTATATAAATGACCAATGCAGCATCATTGCAGTGTGAAAGCCGTCTGTCGCTCTTCCCCAGTGGAGCAGTAACTAAAGGCAGGTGGGGAGCTCTGCTGACGCATGCGAGTGTTGACATTCACTCATTGACACACACACCAAATGTGGACCAGAGAAGCCACATACAATTGAAAGCAGCTGTTTTGTCAAATGACTCCCTCCCCATGTGCTGTTTTTGTAACCGTATCCCTTGGAGACAGAGGTTATTTCTTTGTGTATGGCTGGAGCATTGAGAGGAAAAATCTGCTCATTGAGAATAGTAAACAAACAATGTAGCTCTGCAGGACCACGGAGCAGAAAAGGCTCATGTACATATTATTGTAGGGATCTATATGTTGTCTCTATATGATGTACAGCACAGACCTACATGAGCAGATTGGAGGAACTGCCACTGTGGGGATTAGAGCGGTATTATCTGTGGTCCTGCTGTATTTGATCTGTGATCAGAAGGAAAAGGGGCAGACACCCCAGGGAGAGAACAGACTGACAGAGGGGCACGAAGGGGGGACAAAGAAGGAGAAAACATCCTTACGGCAGCCGTACAAAGACTACATCTCTGGTTTGGGACGTTTTTAGACCGGGTTGACTGCGGTCTGTAACATACACCGACTCCAGTTAACTACTGTGGTCGGGTTTTGCCCAAAGCCACGCGGGTTTATGGGGATCCACGCGAGGACGGCTAATTAATCACCACGAGACCGGAGCAGACCTCTGCTTAGTCTGGTGAAAATGGAGCCTCACACCCGCACCGCACCCGCACCCCGACTTGCAGTGCTTCGAGGTCAGTACGTCAGCTCGTTGGTTTTATGTCCTCCAGGACCAAAACACAGAAGTGCGAGTGTATGCTGTGCTAAAGCCTGGAGGAGTGCAAGTGTAAAATAAATCCTATCACACCTCTTTTACAATGAGCCACTTGGAAGAACCAAAAATAGAATATGCACAACATGTAAAAAAAAGTGAATGCTCTGTATGGAAAACAATTATACAAGTTGTTTTGTCTAATGAAAAGAATGACATTTATGTTTATCATACAAAAACAGTCCAGAAAGGTTTGACACCGGTGATACAATAATCACAGCCTTACCTTTATATTCATAATTGAGGTTCAGGTAATTATTATCCCGGTTGTTTGGCGAGTAAGGAGGGCTGGAAAAAAGAAAGGACAACAATTCAATATTAAGACGAGTTTTGCTCAAACTTTTCCCAAAATTCAAAACCAAGAAACCAAGGTAGACGATCAATTCTTTTGTTAAACGTCCCCCCCCACTCAGTTCTGTAGCCTCGTCCTGCACAAGTGGACAGAGTGACGTCTCTCCTGACCGCGGGGCAGCATCAGGCCACGAGACCCTGGAAAAGGGGCATGAATGCCCGCTCGCAGGGAAAAGTTCCATGCACTGGTTTCCTGCCATTGTTCTGCAGCCTGGAGCCCAGATAAGCCTCGTGCAGGTAGAGCTGTTTCCGTCCAGCTCACTCTCCCCTCGCTGCTCTTATCCTTTTGATTCATTTCATTTCATTATTCCACCACCACACATTTTCCATAACTTTTGAAACAAGCTTGCAGCATAGTCCTACTTCATTTCTTTGCTTTTAAATGTGAAAATAATGTGAGTGGAGGTTTCTGGTGGGGTCACACGAATGCACTGAGCTTTTGGACAATTGTTTGTACTTTTGCTTTTACAAAAATAACTAAAATAGCTTTTGTGAGCATGCATTAGGCCATTGTTAGACAGTTTTACTGGATTCAAGCGGTTCTGAACCTAAAAATGTCTATATTGAAGCTTAAGTTGTGACAAATGTTTACCATCTCACCAACTACATTAGTGCCATATATAGAATTTTGTAACACAATCAAAAACACATGTTAGTATACCAATAAAGTACTGGATTCTAAAAGTCATATTGCCGGAGCTAAAGTTTGCTGGATGACACTGTGAACTTGTGTTTACTTTGGGTTGGCAAGGTGTTTTATAAAATCCTAAACCGTAGATAACTGCTCATCTAGAGCTCCACCTCTGCCTGGTGGGTCTGGGTCTGTGTGACCAGACCAAGAGGGAGACCATTGTGCCCAAGGTCATCCGGCTGACCTGACGCATGCGTGGTGCAAAGAACTTTCATCACTGCAGAGCTTTAATCCTGGGCTATATGTTAAGATGTTACTATTTATGATTTTATCCATCTGTTTCTGTATTGGCTACTAATGGTCACACACATTGCAAAGCGTAGTATCTCTCTACAGTATTATGTTTATAGGATCCGAGTGACTCACCTGTCCAATGCTTGGTCGATTGATTGACAGCTGCTTGACAGTGAGTTGTCTGCACTTCCAAATGGATCCAGCATCTGACAGAGCAACAGACACGTCAGGACAATCACAGCACACAGGGCACTAGAGCAGTTACACTCAAAGCAAGAGGGAACTGGTTTTTAAAGAACAAAGATGCCATCTTACAAGCAATCTTCATGCCCAAATAAATTCCATTTTGAAAATATTGACAGTTATAATGTGTCTATTAGTGCGAGAATCCAAATACAGGCTAAGTCAATTGATTAGACGACTGAAAGTGGGGAACGGCAAAAGCTCTAAAACCTAAAATGCATCGGACCTAAACTTTTGCCTTATATCACATAATGAAGATGATACTATCTTGGATTACACATCTAATACCTAAGTGTTCATAGATATCAAACCAGTTTTAAGGAAAATATTTGACTTCAAGACGATGACGCTACTGATAAACGCTTGTGCATATTTTATCTGAGGATACTTAAACATGAATACATCTCATCCCAAAGAGTGAGTGATTGTGGATTCTTACATTTGGGTCCAGTGTCTCTGGGATGAACTCTCCCTCGCTGTGGATGCTGGTGTAACTGCCTTGGCGTGCGATCTGCTGCTGCTCCTCTGGGACACTGCCCGGTGGAGGGGACGTCCTGCCTGTGTGCAGCGAGCCTAACACCAGCCCAGCGTGCACGCGAGGAAACAGAGAAGTGACAAAGAGACAGAAGAGAACATGTATGAACGCACAGAGGACGGTGAAGGGGAAGAGGGGACACAATTGCATTATTTAGAACTCAACCGCGCTCGGGAGAAATTATTTACCAAAATACACTGATTTTGAATATGGCAGTAAATTAGGCCTTTTGTGTTTGTGTTAGGGATCTAGATGGAGGATTTAGATGTACTCAAATACACAGATTGTACTATGTAATGGCCATATTACTGTATTGCATGTGATACTGGGAGCTGCCTTGCTTGGAGGACGGCTTGCCCTCGCGCTGACCTGACATCTTTCTGAGAGACACGTCACTTTCTGCTAACAGCTCCTCTGCGCTTCCATCCTCTGACAAAGCATGCTCCTGGTCCTGCCATTAACACTGCTGCACCACTGTCAACTCTCCTTTAAGACCCGACAGAGACGAGCCACCCTGAGATCGGACAGAAATATCACTGTGACTAAAACAACATTTCACCTTCCCCTTCTCTATTTAACAATGTAGGCAGGACTGCAATAGTAACAGACACATTCATAATTCAATAGCTCGTAAGTACCATTTGAAATCATTGTATATCTACCTCTGTTTATTTATTGTAAAGATTTGAAACAGTAAGTTAATATAGAAATGATTGATATGCCTCTATGATGATCCTACTCACTACTTTGACCAGTTGCATGGCATTCATTTGTAGTTTTTATATGTTGAAATCACTTACAGCTCTATTTTACATTTCCCCTTGCTTTCGTTATTCCTTCATTTCTCAATTTGGTCCTCACCTGTGGAGTGTTTGCGCACCCTCTCCGAGCCCTTGAGCAGCGACCCCTTCAGGTCCCCAAGTGACCGCGATGACCTCATCTCGCTCTGCTTGTCCCTGGTGTTCACCTGTAGGTACTGCACACAGGACAGCAGGAGAGAGAGAGGGACGACGTGAGAACAGACCATTTAAGGAACGCGATAAGGACAGGAAGTGCATTACATCACTGCCCACTTCTTACATCACACACAGAAGTGAATCTGCACAGAGCCGAGCGTGTGCCTCTGAGAAATTTCACTACAAGCAATGTTTTTGAGTCTGAAGACAGTCCATGCCGAAGCATTTCCATACCCTAGCAGTAAAGCTTTTTTCTTTGACAAAGCAAATGTTGGGGCTATAATTAATGATTGTTGTGATCCCTTAGTTGCCCGGTTACTCTTTCCATTAATCGATAAGTTGTTTGGATCTCAAAAGGTCAGTGAACATGGTTTTTTTTATACATTTGAACTGAACAAAGCTCAAGTGGAGAGAACATCTTCATACGTCTTGTTATGACTTGTTACACATTGTAAACATCGCAAAGTAGCTTGACTGAATGCTTTGAACTTCACGAGTGCTGTGGATAGATGTAAGAGGTGGCGAGCTGCTCACATGGTTGTTCTTTGGGGTCTTGAGGAGTATTCGCAGCAGCCCATTGGTCCCCAGCGTGAGCACGGCCTGGTCCAGGTCCTCCTGAGTCTTCACCGGCAGCAGCAACTGAAGCATAGGAGAGCATTCTTATATGACCTTTCAGCCCATTGTGCGAACGACTGCATGACGTAAAGAGTTGAACTGACAGCGGCCCCAAAACAATGTTATGAAAAAAACACATTAAAAACTGAAAGAAACTGGTGTTGAAATTACATTACAATTTGCCTTGATTTACTTGGTTCTTCCATACCAGACAAATGTAAAATAGCAATGTTATTAAGAACAAGGAAACGAGGAAATACAGTAAAATAACTATTACTGATCATTTAATGCCGTTATGTTCTACTGCTGTGCTTTTACTCAACATTGTGAGTCTAGTTTAGTTTCAGGTCAACAGGATGCTTCTAAATAGCACCGATGCAGATGTGTCCAGTGATGTTGGGGACAGTATGCCTGAGCTTGCACCTCTTTGTCCATGAAGAACATGTCCATCTGCTGTCCAAAGGCCTCGGTCACTTTCTGCTGCAGCTCTTTGATCCTCAGCGGCCTCTGAAACGGGATGATTCTGTCGACAAAGCACAAACGCACTCATCAGGAGAATCTTTCCACACATGCGTCACTGTTAACATGAACTTATTAACGCTATTTCACAGCGTTTAGATAAATGACAAAGTAGCAATATCTTTCAAGGCTGTTTTTCTATGTGTTTCTATGGCAACGTACTAAAAAGAGACATGTTAGCTGCTGGGTCAAGGGAAGGGATTGTGAGCCATCACAGGGTCACAATCAGATTAAAATAATAAATTTAATCAAATTGATGTGTTTTATTTGTGATTAGGCTAAACTAACAATAATAAAGACAGACATAACAAAATACAACAAAAACAAAAAGAACAACAATACTAAATACTACTTAATAATATTGATAAAAAGTACATAAAACATCAAGTAATAATTTATTTTGTTTTAAAACAATATCAAAAACGAAAATATCAACATTTTAAAACCATAATGAGATTAAATAATAATAATTTGAATAAATATATAATTGTTAGGTCCAATAATAATCTAAGTTCCCTTTAAATACTATCCTTTCTGGTTTTATGATGCTATGAAGGTCTGCTCATCCTGTCACTTTGTAAAGTCTCAAATGGCCATAAAATTGAGCACACCTTTTCTGTCCTGTTGTTTTCACCTGCTCTCAACTCCATCTTTCAACTCCTGCCTGTATTGAGCGGCGTATTATTTTAGGAGAAGACGCCTGAAGTCGAATGTCTTCTGTGGCGATACTGTCTCTTTGCGTACGTGTACAACTGTCAGTCTCTGCCCATTTCTCTTATCATACTATGGCGTACGTGTATATACATGACGTATTTGCAAAAGTGCCTGAGCGTGCTTGCTTCACAATCAGTTTTTCACATCACGGACCAGTGTTTCAACACCACGCTGGGCCTCTCCACTCACCAAACGCCGGCACAAAGGCAGATGGGAAACTTCCTGAGAGGAAAAGGGGGGAAAAATGCAGAGCGGCAGCAAAAGCAGCAGGATGTGTGTCTTTCCCTCCTTGTTCAAAAGAGTGACAGATACAGAGATATCCAGGCACAGGCTGAGAAAATAAAGCAGTATCTACCATGTACTGCACATGCTTTTGATTCGTGTTTTGATAGGTTTATATTTGAAATGCCACCGTTTCCTCATCAGCTTTGGATATCGTAATAATTGGTCTGAACATTTGAAGATTGCCTCCAAGGAAGAGGAAGATCAGGGTCGCAGCACAACTGTTTATATTGTGTTTAGACTCAACAATGATGCGCGATAAAGCAGAGCAGGGGAGGAAGGGGCCATAATAACTGGGCTCTCAAAGACACATATTTTCATACAGGATGTCCATTCACACAGAAGGGCCAAGGAGACTGTCATGTATATATCTGCTGACTTATTTTGAATCTGTGTAAAGAATTACTTATACATACCCAATTATAAAAACATGGTTCAATTGTAAACCATTCATACGAGATGATCATAATCCTTATTCACAAACTATGTACACCGGGCGGCACGGTGGCTGAGTGGATAGCACTCTCGCCTCTCAGCAAGAAGGTCCTGGGTTCGAATCCCGGTCGGACCAGGCCCTTTCTGAGTGGAGTTTGCATGTTCTCCCCGTGTCTGCGTAGGTTTCCTCCGGGTACTCCGGTTTCCCCTACCACTAAAAATATGTAAAATAGTTCTGGCAGGCGCCTCCTGTACTGGCCCCACTCCCATCTCTGTGTGGAGTGAGAGACAAGTGCCCAAAAAAAATAACAATTGTAAACCGCTTTGAGACTCAGCTCTGCAGTGAAAAGGCGGTATATAAATAATTACTTACTTACTTACTACTTACTTACTACTTTTGGTCAGAAATAAAGCTGGGATACTGAACTTTGTTTGGTTAATAAATAATACATGATCAGTCTGTTCCAACAGAAAGAGTCTAGTAATATTTTGTGAACAAATTACCTCCCAATATGTCATCTTTATCTAATTAGAAGGAGTCCTGTGAGTCACTATTTGACCCTGAGTGAAGGTGGTCCTCTATATTTTACTTTTGTGACTGAAAAAGCTGATCTAAAGATGTGACAGAGGCAAAAAATACATACATGTGAAAACTAGTGAGAGAAGCAAAAGTGTAAAGAGTGAGAAACATTAATCACATTGTTAATAGTTTTGTTTGCTAAGCTTTAAGGATCTACTTAACTTACTAGATACATGTTTCAGAATACCTTAACATATCTTGTTAGATTCTCCGTCAACAATGTGAAAGAGATTTGGTCTATTCTTCTGTGCACTTTCATTTTCTACACAAAAGTATACAGATCTTTCCATCACACACTGTTACAGAGAAAAACAGAAAAAAGTTGGCTGGCTGCTCGGCTCCGCTCTTTGGCAGCAGTCCCTGAGGCTGAGAGAGGGGAAGAAGGAGACACAGCTCTGATTTCCTGGCCCCAACCTTCAGCGATTGCCAACCATAAGAGAGAGCAGCCAATGAGATTCCAGCGCTCGCCTGACTCAGGGGCCTGGCTGTGCTGGAGACAATGGGCCGATAAAATGTTGACTTTTTTATTTGAGAGGATTTTATATTCTTTAGTTTAAATAAAAATAATGATGTTTTCTACATGGTACAATCTTATCTTATTTTGGAATGCTTTCTATTCATCTTGTTTTGAGTGCTTACTGTTCCTACTGCTCTATGCTGTGGAATTTCTTCACTTGAGTTGTAATAAAGTATACAAAGATCTGATAGAGAAGAGGCAAAAAATACATGCATTTGAAAACAGGTGAGAGGGAGGAACTAGTTAGATTAATATGATCATATAGTTAAAAGTAATTACATTACATTACATTTATATGTGATTGTAGTGACTCTTTTAAACCAGTGCATATTTTGTACTCTCCCTATTAACAATGTCATGTATTTTGTTAAATAAGTGTTGGTATGGAACTCCCACTGATGTCTGCTGTTGTTGTGTCCTTGGCAAGACACTTAATCCCCCTTTGCCAGAAGCCCCTGCTGAAAGATCAAGGCTATGTTCACACTGACAGAGCAGCCATCCTCAGGTGGACTCACCACCTGCAGGACGATCAGTGAGGGGCTGGTGCCATGTCACATGCCCCCCCCCCCCAATCCAGTAATTGATTCAGGGGTAGAAAATGGATGGATGGAAGTATTGGTATGTAAAATACAATAGCAACTTGAGATCAAGGAACAGGAGAAAACGAGAAACACCTTGTTTTTAAAAACCATGTGTCTCTGGTATGCTGTGTTGTCAAACCAAACCAGCAGAAGGTGTTAAACTCAGTAAAGGCAGGAGACAAAGTGAAACTGGGAAGTGTCATGTGTTCCAGCCAATTAGAGCTGTGAAGAAGAGGCCCGTTGTGGTGATGTTCTGCCTGAGAACATCATGTCTGTCCGCCCTCTGTGAGCTCCACACGGGGCCCTGAATCGGATCATTCAGGCCTGGACATATTGGTCTGTTTGTGGGATTCCTCTGTTCTGTGGTCGGCTCAGTCTGCTCTGACCAGTGTTGCCTTAGTGATCAAACAGGATGTGGTGCTAAGAGCGGGGCATGGACTCAAAGTGCACTACACTATGAAATTAAATGGCTCCGGTGAAAGTAAAAGAAGCTTGTGTGACCAAAAGTATTTCATTTTGAATAGTTACAGTAACTACAAGAATAAACCTCCTAATATGCATTGTCCCTTTAAATAAAGGGACAATGCATACAGGCTTCAAAACTGTATCTTAATGCCACAATTCTCTCCATTTATTAATTACTGTGTGACGAGTTGGTCTCAGGCCAATAAGACCACATTGTTGCCCATAGAAAGACTGTATAAGCAGACAGTAAAAACATTAGACAAAAAGAACATTTCTTATCACTATTGCAAAGTCTTTACCAAACATCATTTTTTGAAGTGGGAAAATTTGATAATGTATTCAGACGTAATTATGGTCTATAAAATTCTAAATGGGCTTGCCCCCCCCCCATTGCAGGAGTTCCTACAGCTGAATGTAAACTCAAATACGCGATCATCAAGCAGAGGAGATTGTAAAATCCCATTCAGAAAGACTTTATTTGGACAATCTGCCTTCTCAGTTCGCGCAGCACATTCCTGGAACTCGATCCCAACAGAACTGAGGAACCTGACCTCAATCCACACTTTTAAAAACTCTGTCAAGAAGTGGCTTGTGGACAATCAAAAATGTGAACATATGGTTTAAAGTCACAACCATTGATACTTTGCTGTATGGAAAACTGTGGTGTCTTGTGTATTGTCCCTCTGATCTTTTATCTGTGCTAATGTATCTATTTAACATATTTTACCAAATGTTACATGCCCTGTTTTGTTATGTCTCTGTGATGGTGTGTGTCTGTGTGTGGGTTTGTATGTGTGTGTCTGTGTGTGCCTGTTGTATGCTTTATCTGTCTTAATATCAACCTGCCATGGGACTACGGATGAAAATTAGCCTACATGGCTAACTCTGGCACATTTACATGTTAAAAACACATGTTGATGAATGTGCACTGTCCCAATTCAAATAAAGATTAAAAAAAATAAAATAAAAATAAAAATAAATTCAAACTGGTTTGTTGAGCCGAATATTGATAAACAAACAAATGAATTGCAATAACTTTTTCAGTTCCAAAGTGTGTAGGATTGAGGTTGCGGTTGGCAATAATCAACTTTCCTGATGAGATTTGGAATGCACTGGTGATGTAACTTGCTTGTCTTCAATGTACATTCACAGTTATACTAAATGTACAACGTGTTAAAATCAGTTCAACCAGGAATGGGCAAAAACAATTTCATGTCCAGCCAATAATCTTTACATTTTCATGTAAAATTTATGGAGTTGCACCCCTACAGTGTAACTGTAAATGTGTTCCGGTTACAGCAGCAGATGGGTGCTGTGTGAAAAGTGCCTTGAATAGTTCAAGGTTGATCTTTGGATGAGTACAATGAACCTTGGCTCACACATTGTGAAATCCTTTCATTGGGGATTGGAGAACTGTCCATTTTCCAAACTGTCCCGAGGAACAAGGCCAGGACATGTAACTATGGCTTCCAGCCACGACACTGCAGAAAAACAAGAGAGACACAGAAAACATAATCTGGAGGTTTCCAACGTACCGCTTCTCTCTCTCATGCTCCAGCTTGACTCTGAGATCCTGTCGAGAGGAACAATAACAAAAGTGAGGAGCAATGGAAGAGGAAAGTGATTCATGCTTGTGTGTGTCTCAAAGCTGCAGTATTATAGTGGGGTACATCAGTACACCAAGGCAGCAGTACAACATTAATAGTGTATCTTTAATTCTCACAAGATGAATTTGTTCTAAGACTGTCTCTTCAAACCATTTAAATCTACTTCCTTGTGTTTCTCATCTAGCTGCTTTCACAACCTTACACGCAGAGAACCTGGAAGTGTTTGGATGAGCTCATAGATACTGTAGAGCTGACATCAAATCAGGCCATGCTTTTCACTGAGGGCGACACAGGTTTATATACGCTCTCATAAACACTTTACGACACTTTAACAATTACTGTTCAACAGGAACACACCGCGACTGAGGATATGACCGAGTATATCTATATCCACATGGCATATTTCAACTCGGGGGGGATAACCACTCTTAGGTTTTAGTAAACGTCTTCCTACCTACTTTGCGATTGGTCAAGACGTATGTTTTTGGTTGATGAAAAATAATAGAAAAGACCATTGCTATCATATGGTTGTCTTCTCTATTCCAAAACACAATCCATGTCTGTACCTGTTTGTACAGAAGAGTTCTGTGCTTGGGCTTGTGGCTGCTTTGAGTGGAGCAGCGGCCCAGTGCTGCGAGGTCCTTCATGATGGAGTTGAGTGCCTCTTCGTCATCTGGACAGAAAGAGAAAACACAAATGAATTAGGTCTGCCAAATGTATGCTGTCCACGGTGACTTCATAGTGTTAATCATGAGGGTGTCAGGTGAGATCTACGTCAAAGGTAACAATTCACGCTTGTTCACCTCAGCCGTCAATCACAGCTGCAGCACCTGTGTCAGACTTCCGGTTTGCATTCCTGTGATCTTACGTATGCGCTCTGTGTGCCAACAGGAGGAACACTGCTCATGAGAAAGTAGAATTGCTGAAAACTGGTTCTTCATGTCACAATGTTTCAATGGATGAACCAGTCCACGATCAAACTACAGTGAAGTCCGTCAATGTAATTAGATTACCACTCTTATTTGACCAGTAAGACTGACCTATTTCCATACAGTTTCAGGAGAGGGTTTTTTTCAAAATATTTCATAGTTTACACACAAAGTCTACAGAGCTTTAGAGAACAGGGAGTGGGTCTATGAAGAACAAAAGTAATCAAGATCTGGGGAGGGGGGGGGGGGGGAGACTTTTGCAAATGTATGTGGTTTTAATGCAAATGGCAAAATTAATCTCAAACAGATCAGCAATTATTTACATTTTGAGTACTCATTTGGTTCTCTTTGCATTGGTGTATGTTATCTACTTACTCCAACAAGAATCACACCAAACATCTGTGTCTGTTACATAAGCCGTCAGCTCTTCCATCTTATACATTTCTAAAGATATTTAGTAATATATTTAGTGTCATAGTTGGACTATCAAGGAATAAATATTTCTTCTTTGATATGGCTTTTTTGCTTGCGAAGAGAGGGAGAGGGTCTTTAATCATAGAAGTCTATAGGACAGTAGCTCATTACTATAAATGTGTTTCAATGTCACTTCTGGAGAATGAACCTTCTCAGTGTTCATCTCATGTGGTAGAGATCATGGAGCCGTCCATTGGCACTACTCTACTACTAAAATATGCAGATCGCCCACCTGTTTGAACAGACCGCCTCAGTCAGGTGAACCATTTGTCTTCTTAGTCGGAGTTAACACTGTCAGGTCATCTCTAGATCGATAAAAGGTGTGACTATGCAGCCAGCGCTCTAGAGTGTAGTGGGTGGAAGTAAATGCTTCCTTGTAAATGCTTTAAGGTCATTCATTTTTTGGTTACGACAGAAGTATCTACTTTTGATATGTGTCATCATCACCACAGACTTTTTCATGAATAAATCACTGCACCGCTTCCTAAATGTGATGCAATGTTGATTTATGTTGATTGAAAAAGTAAACATGTTTTCATTTCAAATATCTACATCTAAAATAAACAACAAAAACTAAAAGCTCTGACCTCCTCACATCCCCATCAGAATGAGTCACCCGTTCAAAGCAAACTCTAAATACAGAACTGGGATCGTTCACACAGTCAAATGTAGCTGTTTATCCCACGACCGGCCCCTCTCCTCTTTACGGCACATTTTCCCTCTGAGTCACAGAGTAAACCACATAAATCCACACAGACACAAATGGACGTCATGTTTTGCATCCAAATTTAGCAAAACAAGCAAAGCTGCCAATCTATACTCCACTACTTCACATAGGAATTACTGATAAGATGAAAACTGTGGCAAGCAGTTTTGACAACTCAAATATATTAAACACACACACAAACAGTACTTAACTACTTTCACACCTACTGGTATAATAACTTTAATGTTTTGGAAAGCTCTTTAAACCTGAATAAGCAGCGCTGACGCAATTAAATAGTGCACAAAGCAGCTTTAAGAGGGCGTGTCCAAACCAGTCTCTTTTTAATGGATATGCTATCATTGTTACCCATGCAAACAATATGTATGTATGTGTGTGTAAGTGTGTGTATGTTTATGTGTATGTATGTGTGTGTATCTGTATGTATGGATTAATATAGGGAGAAGGGGTGGGATTTAATAAGCTTTGGCTTCTTCCTACTCCTTTTGAACATAAATAAGTGTTAAGTGTTGTGTTGTTTTCCTCTTTGTTGTGTCTTGTATTTATTATTGTTGTTTTTGTTTTCTTCTTCTGTTGTTTTTATTCCATGTTCAAATAAACTTTCATTCACTAATTCATTTAAAAACCCTACTGTAATAATACTACTGTTTACTTAATCTACTCTTATCCGTGTCTTCTGAAGTCATCACAAAAAGAATCTTCACAGTAATGGACCAGGCAGATAACAATGTTTTAGAGATTCCAAGGTGGAGATTCCAACAGGTTGAGTAGGATATTTCATTTATCGACTCTCTTCATCTTGACAGAAGTATTTGAGATAAGGCTGAACAGTGAAAGCCAATCCACATACCGCTGCACAAAAGCTCAATGCTTCTTTATTGGACTGGAGCTTGGTATTTATTGATCGACCAAAACAAAATCTTGCTTTATAAGAAGACTCCACAGAGACACACACGGAACAAAGCTATTGATTAAAATGTGTCTCTGCAAAGCTCCGGCCCTCGTACATAAGTGTCCAAATGTTACATACTTGTATTGAACGACAAAGGCCTCGATGTCTTCATGAATAGAACAATTAGAACAAGGCTTTAAGAGATTAACCCTCCATAGCTGCGGTTAGAATATTCACTGTTGATTGACACTTCAGAGAGGAAATGGAAAATGTTTGTATCTCTGCTGTTGTCAGCTTCTACAAAGAAGACTGTTTATGAGAAAGTTTAATAGATCTTTGATTGATTGATAGGATTTATTATAAGCTTATAAACAGGAATCAATTATAGAATTACAGCAATTACATATTATACATGATAGTTAGTTGAATTTCACAAAATTAGTCCAAAACATCAGTTGTCAAAAAACGATCAGGCAATCATCCGACCGGAACGGGTTGATCGTGGGTTAGATGCTTTAGATTTGATTTTACCATTTAAGATTTTATGTGTCTGTCTATTGTCTGTGTGGTCTGAAACAGCGACTGATTGTCACTTAAATTTTACCTGGTGGGATAAAAAATGAATTTAACGATTGCTCTTGTTAAATCATGTTTATTCTGCTGATTAGATCAAAGAAATCATTCTCAGTTCTGATCGTCAAAACCAGGATTGAAATGATACATTTTCAAATTGAATTAATCATTTGTGGTTTGTAAATTGAAATTGTGAGGCTTCTGCTACTTTTTGAACAAATGAAACCTTGCTGTGTGGCATAATCAATCTAGGAGCATTCTTTAATCCCAAAACTGCTAAAACTGTTAATAAGGCTTTAGGGAAAGTTCAATTGTGTGTAATAAACTTTTACCACTAATGAGCATCGCATCAACATTTCAACACCAATAATGAACCATTTTACATTATTACGGAGCTAATTTACTGATCCGCATCGCCTCTATTATTTCTCATTATGAGCCGTCTGACAAGTCTTTGTTAGATCCTCCATACTTGCAGTCAAGGATACAAAACAAACAGCATTGGCCTGTGTGTGGGGGGACCGCAGTGTGAGAAATGCGTAGTACCAGCTCTAACAGCAGTCTGTAAACAAGGATTTGACTTTGCTTCGAACTCGGCCTGCCAAGGCTAACCGCTAACGCAATAGAAAGTAGCAGACGGCTTAGCTACAACGGGAACAAACAAACTAATCACCATATCCACTAAAAACAGGTTTGCACAACAACATAACAGCAACATGTAACACAGTATAATGTATTGTACTTGATTTTGTTTCCCTACATACATATTGATAATGTGTCTTGTAGAAAACATTTGAAATTATAAGGAAATTGTGAGTGAAAAAGGGGGGAATACCAGGAAGTCAAGAGGAATGAGACACATTACACAACAGTGAGTGATTGCTGCGTGTTGCATCACCGCATTGCAATTTTTTTTACTGCTGCTACCGGGATTGATGTGCAAATGAGTCCATTACAGAAAAATGGACAACTGTCAGTCTACTTCAGGCAACCTATGCACTAGTATAGCATATTAGACATAAATCATTAAATATCAGGGATGTGATGGGGTCTCTGAGAAAGAGGCAGAAAACCAATACAGCTCCTTAAATCATGCTTATTGTTCAAACTAAACTGGCACCATTTTTTTTACTACATATTATTGCTTTATCATTGTGGAATTAGATATTGTTTCATCACTATTAAATACCAATGAGAACTAACTACAGAAAGATAGATACATTGTTATTTTTTATAATCATTCTCTCACTTTGATGAGAATGACTTTGCTTTGTTAACAAAGGCTGCAGAGTTTTATTTTAGTATCAGCAAAAAGGTTTGGGGAACACTGCTCTAAAACAAGCAGCTGTCTATTGACATTAACTTGTTCCATTGGTTTTAAGAAAGTTGCCATGTTTTCAGATGAAGATAAAGATTACTTTTACATTTTTTACAGGTTGGTGCACCATTATATACACTTTATTATAACTAACTAATCAAGTAGCTCACTACCATTTTTGTCCAGCAATAGTAGGTCTCCAGGTAAGACCCCTGAACAAGAGGATTGTGAAAATGTTAATGGGAAACACTGAACTTTGAAGAGCAGAGCGTGTTAGACGCGCGGAGCCTGGATGAAGACATAGAGGGGATTTCCTGGTTGCAGAGAGAGAGACACATCATGGCAAAGGCATCCGGCCGGACCAGCAGCTGGAGCCAAAATGTGTCCTCAGCTCTGCAGCGGCCCAGGCCTCACACACCCTCCCCCATGCATGGACAGTATCAGACAAATTTGAGTTTTATTTGTCAGTATTTAAAAATTTATCAACCCATTTTACTTAGAACTTGAGTTTCAAATACATTTTGAAGCTTACTTGATTTGGAACAATACAACAATACTTCCATTCATAAACCAGTCTTCATAAAACTGCACCTAACTCAATATTATTTAATAGATAGCCTCATTCCAAAGCCGCCACCATTCCCATTAATGCATTAGATTTTCCTTTTACATGCATTTTTATACACATGCAATCTATGCATTTGTACCCTTATTAGACAGTCTTTAGCATTTTTTTAACATATATTTCTTTACTCTTATTTGTGTACTTATATTGTCATGTGTGAGCTACTCTGTCAAATCCATGTGTGCCTCAAATTTGTCAGGTTTTTTTTCACTTTTACAATACTATTACCTTGAATATTGGCTCCTCCCAAGTCCAGACAGACACACACTCCAGGTGCCCCAATCGAAACTGCGATGACGCTAATTGAACCCATAATTAGTGTAATATTTAAGCCCTTGACGTTAATCTTTCACTCAGAATAAAGGCGCTGATGTAATCTGCCCAATTGTGAGAACGCTCCAATAGTTGTGCAATAAATGTTTGTTCTAGCTCCGTGCCCATGTCTTTTCACTGGACGTCTGCAAACACTTTCCATTCAAACCAGAAGGCTGAGACAGGCCCTTCGCAGCTGGTATTTCCACTGTGCTGTCTATGGTGAGAAAGGATTGTGTGGATGCAGTTTTGTGTTGGCGGCGATGGACATATTTGACATGGGAGAATGAGAGAGAGAAAAAGTCAACACATGTTACCTTGAGAGTTCCTGTGCTGTCCAGGTCTAATGTAGAGACCGTCATCTGTGAGGAATAGTGCATAGTGAATATTTATACATTCTTGTTTTGAGTACTTTGAGTTACCTATATGTATGAATTGCGGTAAACAAATAAACTAGCCTTGCCTATATGTGCAACAGAAAAAAGTTACAGTGAGTGAAATACACAATTGAATCTGGGGTGCCTAACTTTCAAAACAACGACAGAAACTATGTAATAAAATCCATCTACCAGTAACTAGTCCCTGGCTCTGAAACTAGATCTGTCATTAGATGTGTTTTTGATCTCTGTCACATCTTTAGATCAGTTTTTATTGGACAGAAAAGTGAAAAAGAGAGAACCAGCCTCACTCAGCCAATCAGCTCTCAGTCCAATTCATTGTGACTGACAGGGCATAATAGATATAATGTTGTTGTCTAATTTGTTCACACAATGTTACATTTCCCAGACTCTTTCTTTTTGGACAAATAAAATGTATTATTTATGGGTGAAAAAGTCCCAATCTTGAAATATAACATTACATTTATTATCCTATTCATTCTTGAATTTCATTTCATTCATATTGTGTAAAAGCTATTTTGGAATTCCATCTATAAATACATTTTAAGCAGTAGCTTCGTGAATGGAAAAAGTCAAACTCGACATCTAAAACTTATAGTTTGAGAGAACATGATGTGAGCAGGGAAAAGTGTTTTTGCATAGAGTAGGAGTACGCATATAAATAAACTTCAACCAGGTTTTTGTGCACCTCGACTTATTAGTGCCTCCATTAAAAGGTAAGATATGGCATGTTTACTGTTTAATAAATATGTAAATAAATATAAGTATGACAATAACAACTGGATCTAAGTTTCCCAGAGTACGGATCGTCCATGTTTCATGTGACATCTCAGAACCTCCAGAGGGTGATTATTGAGGCTGGCTTTAGGTAGAAATTTGAATGAGATATAACTTGATTTTTGCATTGAAAATGTGAGACTCATTCTGTGGTACGATGGGATAATCGTTTTTAAGTCCAAGTCATTAGTAAACCAACACAACCGGCGTTCCCCATTTGAGGCAAAAAGGGCAGAGTGGCATATCTGATTTGAAGGCAGAGGTGGAACCTCTGAAAATAAGGGCATACCCAAGATATCATGTTCTTTCAGAGGGAATAATGTCATAATGATGAGATAAGTCACAGAATTCCACACTATACCTGCAGGCGTGGGGTTGGACCAAATTAGCATTGCTTGGATAAATATGATAAAATTATTAATAATAATATATTTTAGCACAGTGTGAGCGGCACTTCTGTAAAGCCGTATTTTTAAATTAGGTTTATAAAATTTGAAGCCAACAATTTACGGTCCTTCCTTTAAAATCAATGCACTGTATTTCACCAAAACAAGGTCAAAACTAGTGGTGTTAAAGTGGGCCATCTGCAGCCATTACCAGCTCGTTCATGTTATTCCTTTCTACCCAGTGTTCCTGTGAGCGGAAGTAGCATGTGCTTTCAAATGATACTCACTCATGTTTACTGTCATCATCAGGAAATGGTCCTGTTGAACTTGAGCACACGGCCCAACTTATTTCAGCCAGCCAAATGTTCACCCTGCAAGCAATAACAAGAGAAAACACAAAACAAAGTCAGTTTCACTTTTCATAATGTTTCTACTATTGTACATTGCAATACTGAAAGAAAGAAGACAGAAGAATAACAAATCCTTTCTTAAACATGTTCAAATGTAGACAAATATCATTACTGAAATATATTACATACAAACGGCAAAACTGGACTTGTATAATGTTAGAATGGCTGAGGTTGTGTTTGCAATACTACACTGATTGAGACTAGTGGGTGAGTTTCCTCCATCCATGAACTGAAAGGTAAAGTTATGGACTTTTTTGCACTTTGAATGTTCAATCTGAGCAAGGAATTCCTCAGTGCTGGATTATGACATACAGTAGTAGTAGTAGTATTCGGCCCCCTTGAACCTTTCAACATTTTGCCACATTTCAGGCTTCAAACATAAAGATATAAAAAAATTATTTTTTGTCATGAATCAACAACAGTAGGCGACAGTAGCTCAGTTGGTAGAGCATTGGCCTTATGGCCAGAAGGTTGTGGGTTCAATTCCCACCTCTGCACCTTCTCCACCGACTCCCACTGATGACTGCTGTCGTTGTGTCCTTGGGCAAGACACTTAACCCCACTTTGCCCAAAGCCCCCGCTGCAAGATCAAGGCTATGCTCAACTCAGAGAGCAGCCGTCCTCCTGTGGACTCACCACCTGCAGAGGGTCAGTGAGGGGCTGGTGCTATGAGACTTGGGTGGCATCTCTGATTGCCACCCCCCTGACCCAGAAATGGATTAAAGGGTAGAAAATGGATGGATGGATGGAATCAACAACAAGTGGGACACAATCGTGAAGTGGAACGACATTTATTGTATAATTTAAACTTTTTTAACAAATAAAAAACTGAAAAGTGGGGCGTGCAATATTATTCGGCCCCTTTACTTTCAGTGCAGCAAACTCACTCCAGAAGTTCAGTGAGGATCTTTGAATGATCCAATGTTGTCCTAAATGACTGATGATGATAAATAGAATGCACCTGTGTGTAATCAAGTCTCCGTATAAATGCACCTGCTCTTTGATAGTCTCAGGGTTCTGTTTAAAGCACAGAGAGAACCATGAAGACAAAGGAACACACCAGGCAGGTCCGAGATACTGTTGTGGAGAAGTTTAAAGCCGGATTTGGATACAAAAAGATTTCCCAAGCTTTAAACATCTCAAGGAGCAATGTGCAAGCAATTATATTGAAATGGAAGGAGTATCAGACCACTGCAAATCTACCAAGACCCGGCCGTCACTCCAAACTTTCATCTCAAACAAGGAGAAGACTGATCAGAGATGCAGCCAAGAGGCCCATGATCACTCTGGATGAACTGCAGATAACTACAGCTGAGGTGGGGATGGTGTGTTCAGGGTGATGAGCTGTGTTGCTTTTACGCCAAACATATCGTTTTGCATTGTGGCCAAAAAGTTCGATTTTGGTTTCATCTGACCAAAGCACCTTCTTCCACATGTTTGGTGTGTCTCCCAGGTGGCTTGTGGCAAACTTTAAACGAGACTTTTTATGGATATCTTTGAGAAATGGCTTTCTTCTTGCCACTCTTCCATAAAGGCCAGATTTGTGCAGTGCACGACTGATTGTTGTCCTATGGACAGACTCTCCCACCTCAGCTGTAGTTATCTGCAGTTCATCCAGAGTGATCATGGGCCTCTTGGCTGCATCTCCTTGTTTGAGATGAAAGTTTGGAGGGATGGCCGGGTCTTGGTAGATCTGCAGTGGTCTGATACTCCTTCCATTTCAATATAATTGCTTGCACATTGCTCCTTGAGATGTTTAAAGCTTGGGAAATCTTTTTGTATCCAAATCCGGCTTTAAACTTCTCCACAACAGTATCTCGGACCTGCCTGGTGTGTTCCTTTGTCTTCATGGTTCTCTCTGTGCTTTAAACAGAACCCTGAGACTATCAAAGAGCAGGTGCATTTATACGGAGACTTGATTACACTCAGGTGCATTCTATTTATCATCATCAGTCATTTAGGACAACATTGGATCATTCAAAGATCGTCACTGAACTTCTGGAGTGAGTTTGCTGCACTGAAAGTAAAGGGGCCGAATAATATTGCACGCCCCACTTTTCAGTTTTTTATTTGTTAAAAAAGTTTAAATTATTCAATAAATGTCGTTCTACTTCACGATTATGTCCCACTTGTTGCTGATTCATGACAAAAAAATTAAATTTTATATCTTTATGTTTGAAGCCTGAAATGTGGCGAAATGTTGAAAGGTTCAAGGGGGCCGAATACTTTCGCAAGGCACTGTATCCCATGATGCATCACTGCCGGCCCCAGGTAAAAACAACACTATGAGAACAGCAGCATGGGGCCCACATCCATGACGGGGCCCTGACGACTGGAGCATGTCCACAGATGAAGCAGAGAAGGAATTTACTGATGCTAAGGGACTGCTGCGGAGCCCAGGGATCTGTCTGAAAATCATTTTGTCTTAATGAAATGTGTTCAGCTGGAGTTCCTGAGGACCTAAGTGTTTGTGTACAAGCATTAGTGAATATAACAATACTGAAACTTATTAAAAATCCATGATGAGAATAAATAAGTCATGTTGTGTTGTCAGACCAGGCTAACGAGAACAAGCAGAAACAACACATGAGCTACTGCAGTTCACACCTAACATTGACATAGAATTTAGCATTCACTAGAAATTAGATTCAGGTTTCAATGGACAACATGTTGTTTCAGTATAATACTCCCATTAATGCTAATATTTTCAACTAATTTGAACATACAGCATGCAATTACTATACTGCTGGAAAGTCCCACAAAGGATTTTTCCATTTCATTAAAGCCTGAACAGAAGATATAGACAATGGGATGGGCATCATTCTTCTATCACCACTCATTTTGGACAACTATTTTACTTTTTACTATTTTTGTATTGATAAAGTCACAGCAATCAAACAACACCTACACACAGTAATTCAGTTTGAAGAAAAAAATGTAATACATAGGCTTCCCAATCTCACACATAATATAACATAATATAATAGGATCATGTGTTATTGGTAAATAAAGAATGAAACAAACTCGACATTAGCCATGTTCTTCTGCTATAAAAACTATTCTTATTTACACGCATCTCAAACTTGATGGCTCGAAACCCCCATAAAGCCCTACTTGAATTTCCAAAAAGCTTTACAACCAGCACCATGACAAATCATTACAAATGTTGTTGTGTGGAGGTGATAAAGCCCTTGAACTTTGAGCTTGTTAGAAGTCCGGCCAACACCGAGTCTTTGGAACGTTTGTGAAGCGCCTCCAGAGACACGAGTGGAAAACCACCCTGGATACTTTCTGTTGAGCATCATTAACAGTTCCAGTCAAGTGTTTCTGGTTTAAATCTTTCCTGACTATATACTAATGTATCATTGTGCACTTCACCAACAGCAACGCCAATGCTCAAGAGAGAAAGTCATAAAATCACTGGATGCAGGTGGCAGGTATGGACATGGAAACAGAAAACAGTGTCCAGTGTTTCCCACAGGTTTGAAGGCAATGTGTGGTGGTCGTCGGCGGGGGGGGGGGGGGGGGGAGTGGGGTACAGTGGTACAGTGGTAGAGGACAATCTTGAGGTATTTTGGACCAAAATGGCTACTTTACCTCAATATTTCTCAATATTTCTACAGTAAAAGTTTCTGGTCTTTGGTACAGTGGCAGAGGGCAATAATAAGGTCATGAGTCAAGTGAAATTAGTCGCACACCTTATTCCAGTAAATAGTTACAATACTTGAAAATTGCACTAGCGGACCAAATTGTGTACTTTATACATGTAAACAATAGAGTGGCTATCCTCCTGAGGACTCACAATCTGCCGGAGGAATCGTAGGGGGCTGGTGCTATGTGTACTGGGTGGCATCTCTATAAGGTTTTAATCACAAAAACGTGTCTCCCTGACCCCAGCGCGCTTTCTGTTCGATAAAAATGGGTGACTCCGAAAGGACGTTCCGCTGTTACCGTAAGTTCTCAACAAAACGCGCACCGTCTTTTCCCCGATGCGGGCCGCATGTTCATAGAGCTGAAAGATGCGGGCCACTTTACCGCGGTAAATTAATAGACACAGCTGCTTACAGCGATGATCGCTGATGGAGACGGAGACACGCGGTGTGCACGAAGGGGAGGGGCTGTGTGTGTGTAGGTCTCTGTATGTGGGAGAGACGCGTAGCTTGAGTGAGAGTTACGAAGGGCCGCCACATTTTAAACCCCCCTCCCCGCTGTCAAATTGACCGCTGCGGCGGCACTAGACGATGCATGTCTTAAATAGCGTAACAAAAAAAATATATATATAATAATACGAAACGCAATTTGTGGCGGGCGGTCTCTAATCTGTGGCGGTGCGCCACAGATTAGTCTATGTGTGGGAAACACTGGTGTCACAGTCAACATGAATGGGGGTCGATGACATGCTTTCCTTGTGTTCATTGGAACTGCTGACTTCATAAAATAATTCAAAACATCCCATCCACAGTTTGCACAAAGTAATCAACAGTTAGTTTAGTCTAAAATGTAATGCTTGTTTGTATGACTATTGACCATGACATCAGTAATTATCAAAACCTTCTATCACACTAAGAATAAGTCATGGATTTAAACAGCCTGAATGTTCTAAAGTTCTGCTTTACACTTATCTTTCTCTACAAAAGGTAAGCAGCTGAAGCCACCAGGCCCACGATGCAACTTTGTCCATAAGAACATGACATTATTCAGGGAAAAAGGAATTCCTCCTTGAAGGGAAAGCACTTGCATTGTGTTTGTGTATTTCTGAGCAGTGAACACTTGAAAGAGGGGCGAGCAGATAGGTGGTCCCCTGCATCCTCACACACAGCTCCACAACAGCCCCTGTCCCGAGCCAGCCTCACAGATGGTCCATCTGTTTGGCCCTTCACTCGGCGGGACACC